ATTAATGCCCTAGGAGCCTCTACAGCGGACGAAACCCTGTTGGATTTTGAGAACCCCCACGATGAGTGGTATGTGGGTAGGCGGCAGCAGGTTAAACAGGAACCGGCCAAATGGCCTGATTGGCGAGTAGAAGGCAAATCGGCTTATCTTCTTAAGTTGCGGCCTCCGTAGTCTAGGGGTAACGTTCCCACCTCATGACTCAAGGTACACGGGTTCAAACCCGACGGAGGTTGTGGAATTTTTAAGGGCAGAAAAATTCAGGGAACAAGTCGTCCGGGAGGGACTTTAAGCCATGGTTCCCGTGTCGTAGATTTATGGCACGTAAAAGAACCTCGTGTCTCTAGGAGACCTCTGAGCTAAATTAGGCAAAATTTTTCCTTCCAATGCCTCCGGTAGATGGGGAAGCATTAGGTACCACTGCCAGAGGAGGGACGACCACACTGACAGAAAGGGACTAATTATAAGATACCACTGCCAGTAGAAGGTCGAAACCTTGCTTGCAGAAAGGGGCTGATAGCGAGCACCAGTACCGGTAGGCTATGAACACAGTTGAAATTAAAAGGGGGACGTACAACAGACTATTAGTTGCGGTGCATGGGGAAACCCACCCCCTCAATACTGAATAACTCATCATCTTAAGTTAGATCAACTGGGAGAAATGACTGACGGAACAACGACCAGGTGGAATTTAGTAGTTCCTCAAGACTTCCGAGAGAAGATATTTAAGGAGAACCACAATCTTCCGACAGCAGGACACCTGGGTATAACCAAGACATTTCTCCGGATTGCCCAGGCTTACTTTTGGCCAGGACTATTTAGGGACGTGGTTCGGTACGTGAAGTCCTGCGATGTTTGTCAAGTACATAAGGTGGAACAGCAGGTGCCTCGGGGCCAAATGAGATTTAGAAAGCAAGACGGTCTTTGGGTGACCGTTACGTCAGATATATTAGGCCCGTATCCAAGAACTAGAAAGGGGCATCGTTATATAGTCGTGTTCCAGGATTACTTCACGAAATGGGTCGAATGTAAACACCCTAAGAGCTGCCACAGCTAAATCAGTCTTGAAAACTTTTCAGGAGCAAGTTATATTACGTTGGGGGTTACCAAGCGTGCTGTTGAGTGATAACGGTCTGCAATATGTGAGCAAGCTCATGGCCACCATCGCTGAGACTTATGGCATATCCCAGACGTTTACTCCTTATTATTGCCCTCAAGGCCAATCCTACTGAAAGGGTAAATAGAGTAATTAAAACAATGATTTCTTCCTATTTAGGACATCATAACGACTGCGATCTCTATTTACGAGAATTTGCGTATGCCCTGAATACCTCAGTGCATTCGGCAATGGGCTACATGACGGCCTACTTGAACCTGGGCAGAGAGTTGAAACTGCCTAGCGTTATGGACGCTTCAGAAGGACCTCTGGAGCTGGACCCTACTCTTCCGCAGGAGTGGGCTAAGAAAATCTCGGAGTTTCGAAACGTATATCTCTTGGTATGAGATAACTTAGAAGAAGCGTATGAGATGCCAATACAACTTGCGACGTAGGGACTCGGTATTTAAGGTAGGAGATTCAGTACTAAGAAAAAATTATACCTTGAGCTCAGCAGCCGAGAAGGTTACCGCCGGTTTGTTGCCTAAGTACTCGTATCTCGTTACATATAAAATTAAAAGACGATTTTCGGCTGTAACTTATGAACTAGAATCAAGAAATGGCAAAGCCTTAGGCCGATGGCATATTAAAGATCTAAAGCCCTACCATGGTAGATTATAGGGAGACCGAGGGCTTTGTCAGAAATTCTGTGAGTACGAAGTCAGAGGATCGACCTTAGTAGAAGGAAAAAAAAAAGGGAAGGGAATATGTCGACACGCTCGCGCGTAGTGGGGAACCCATATGGGATTGTTGGTGCAGGAGTAGTGTTGAAAGTAGAGAGTAAAAATTAGTGTTGAAAGTAGCGGGTAGAAAGTAGAGAGTAGAGGTGAGGCAGCTATCGCAATTGAAACAGGATCCTGCTGAGAAACGTATATACGGAAGTAACCTTGCAACTATTCAGAGATAAAATCGAGGCTGCAGGAAAATGGCCTCGTGGAGTTAATTTAAGGTCCTAAATTATGGGCTAGTCCAAGAAAAATCCATGTTTAATGACAGTAGGCATTCTGTAACTGGAGATTGATATGGTTTTCAATGTATGCATACACACATATTTGTGAAAGTTTATTTGGTTGTTTTGTACCACTATGTAAGGTGTAACACAGGGGAGTTCGCCCTGGAAACTCCAATGTTCAAGGAAAAGGAGGCAGAGGACGCGAAAGTAATGTATTTTCATTTTTGTAAGACATAATCTTGGTATATTATAGCAAGTTATTTATTGTATCAGATGTTCTAGCTTATTTCTAATGTTTAGTCCTTCCCAGAACAATACCTCTTGTAAGGAAGCTACATGTTATGTAAACTACCTCGCAAAGGTATGTGTGAAGGCACTGGAAGAAGGACCTGAAAAGTGTAGTAATCTGTAGACAAAAGTAATAAGATGGATTACGTACATTGTCTACTAATCATCCACACAGGTGATTGGTTGGGACTAAAGGCGGGATATATTGTATACTGTGTTATGTGAGCCCACCTAAGCAATTGTATGCTTGTAGCAGAGTTATTGAAGGGTAAATTCACTATGAATTGGATGAAACTTGTAATCCTAAGGGCTTAAAACTTTCCAATGCCATGTGCCTGAGTTTAACCATTTAAGTGGGCTTTTAGAAGGGTACTGGTAAGCCCGAGTGGTAAGAAATTTTTGTCCCGCTATGTGGCCCAAAATTTCCTCCCAAGGAGGGAAGAGTTGTGCTCCTGTCGAAACTACTTTGGAAAGCCTCGGTGATGTAGCAACACTGCCCTTGGAAGACGCTTGGCAGTCCTGTATACGCGGACCCACCCCCTTACGTCTGCGGAGGGGGGGGGCCAGCAGTGAACGAGGCAGTGATAGCGACACGAAGCGCTCGAGATAGAGGTAGCGTAGGCTACTCTGGCAGCGACGTTGTGGAAAAAGGAACAGCAGGAGTAGCTGGCAGGGAGTTAAGGGCACCACAGTGGGCCCTATCTTGAAGAAAAAGGGGGGGTTTCAGACTTGGACCAGTGGACTGTAAGTAAATAAATTCGGGCTTACCAAGATATTTGACCCCAATCAGGTTGGGAAAGCCCCATATCTTACCAAATTAAGTTCAATAAAATTAACAAAAGCATGGGCTACCTAGGATACGGCGGAACGAAAGTTTTTGTCCTCACCATTGTGTATTCATGTATTGAGACACTCTACTATGTCCATTGTATTGTCTTTATTTTATATCAGAATTAAATACTACTGTATTAGGTGTTAAATGAAACGGGCACTAAAGACCCTACCCAGCCCATTAGAATCCTACCGTAGGACTTTTGACCCCACAGTAGTAGACATTTCGTAACAGGCGTTCCCAGAACCAACAAGACTTCTTCGTCTCTGGAGTGATGAGTCATCTAAGGGGAGTAACACTAGTAGCATCGCGACATTAGGATCTCCCGCACATTAAATCAGTGTTGCCCAAGTCCAGTACACAAATTCTATAAACACAAAGTCGCTACAAGTGAAATACAACCTCATTTGACCAAGTAGCCTGCAAGTGAGAACACGATTGGCGTAAATGAGAATTAATCGGCTAAGTTGCGGGAGTGAACAGGTGTGTGATCCCCCCCCCCCCNTAACTCACACACGTGGAGAACTGATCCAACAAAGAAACTTATGAGAGTGTCAGTATTAACGGCATAGCTTGTAGGATAGGCTAGTATATACAATGGCTATCGAGTGTCACTGTAGTGACTGGGCGCTCGCTACTAGGTTTGTAAAACAGTGCTACAGCCTTGTAGTAGGTCATTCTCTTTCACATCAGGAATAAAGAGTGATAGTGTTGAGTGAAGTGTGTGTGTGTGTGTGTGAAGTATTCCTTATCGCCTTGTGCGAGCAATGTCCAGAAGTCGCCCTGAGACAGAATTTTGTCCTATCAACTGAGCAGTTGAAACCCCAAACGCCCACCAGCAACAAGGAAGAGGCAGATAAAAGTGGAGGAGGCAGGCAAGACCAATGCAGCAGTGGATACCAGCCAGCAGCAGTAGTGACCATTATGGTGAAGGTACATGACCAACCCAGGAACCAGCAGGCATCGATCGACACATGAGAGTTAGAAGGGGAGGTTAATACATCGAGTGACAGCAGATAAAGCAGGCCAAAGTGTTCAAGAAATGAAGCTGTCGAGCCTCATAAATAAGAAGATAGGGGATAAACCCAAATTCAGTAATCATTTACAAATGTAAACAAGTAAACAATAAGTAGACAAAAAACGGAATAGGCACATAATGCAGATTAATTTCAAGGCACCCATTTCATTACAAATATTAAATTATATAAAACTTCTATGACAATAAGGCCTGCAGTAAAGAATACTTATCTTGTAAATCTAAAGTAACTAATCTGTAAGATATATGCAGAAGTTATAAACCAAAGAATGGATATAACACACTAATTTCAACAAAATAAACTGAAAATCTTATTGATCTCAAATGAGGTACTGAACTAAATTTATGGCAATGGACATATAACAGGGATATGTGAATATTTCTGTACTGGAAATAATCTTTCAAAGAGATTAGTATAACCTATAACACTAAAAGAAATGGCAGCATAATATTAAAACAAGTCTTAGTGAAGGACGTTTTGAGGCTATATACATGATGAATCTAGCACAAATTTGTATGACACAAACATCATCAATTTGTGTAATCAGAGAACTACTTGAGCATAAACAGATTACCGTATTAGGCATGTATAGGACGCGTGCGTGTATAGGCCGCAGCACAATTTTCAGACAGAAATTATAGAAAAAATAATTTTCTTGGAATATTATTTCAGGAGTAGAAATTATTCCGAAATTTGGCAACGTTTATTTTTTTTTAAATGAAGTGTGATTTCGAATATAAGCCGCACCCCAGTTTTCCTCTTGAATTTTTGGCAAAAAATGTGCGGCCTATACATGCGTAAATACGGTATTTTGAACACCACACTACATTCAATCAAAATACCTATTCATAGAGCATCAAATTTTAGGTGGCCTCTGTAGACTCAGACTGTCACACTGAGTGGACGCTTTCTTGCGCGCATTATGAGGAAATGCCATGTTTCATGACGAACTCTGCGATGCCCGTTTAGATTTCTTCCGTGAGCGAAACTTTCTCTCCACATTGATTAAAATAGATCGTTCTACACTGTGTACTTTGAGATGCGTGTGTAGGCTAGAGTTGTGACGGAAACTTTTCTTACACACTTTGCATGAAAAAGGCCTTTTTCCAGTGTGTACAGTGAGATGCGTGTGTAGGTTAGAGCTCTGAGTGAACCTTTTCTTACACACTTCGCATGAAAAAGGCCGTTCTCCAGTGTGTACATTGAGATGCGTGTGTAGGTGAGAATACTGAGTGAACCTTTTCTTACACACTTCGCATGAAAAAGGACGTTCACCACTGTGTACTCTCAAATGAGCAATCAGGCACTGGCGAAGACGGAAAACTTTCTTACACACTTCGCAAGAAAAAGGTCGTTCTCCAGTGTGTATTCTGAGATGATTGTTTAAGTTAGAGTGGCAAGTGAAGCTTTTCTTACACACTTCACATGAAAAAGGCCGTTCTCCAGTGTGTATTCTGAGATGATCGTTTAGGTTAGAGTGGCAAGTGAAGCTTTTCTTACACACTTCACATGAAATAGGCCGTTCACCAGTGTGAACATTGAGATGTGAGTGTAGGTGACAACTCCGAGTGAACCTTTTCTTACACACTTCGCATGAAAAAGGTCGTTCACCACTGTGTATTCTCAGATGAACATTCAGGTTCGGGCGATGACGGAAATTTTTCTTACACACTTTGCACACAAAAGGTCGTTCTCCACTGTGTATTCTGAGATGATTGAGTAGGCTATATCGACGACTGAACATTTTCTCACACACATTGCACAGAAAAGGTTGTTTTCCAGCATGTATTCTCAGATGAGTGAGTAGGTTTCTGCGATGACTGAACATTTTCTTACACAATTCGCATGAAAAATGTCGTTCTCCAGTGTGTACTCTGATATGAGCGTCTAGATCAGAGCGACTAGTGAAGCTCTTATTGCATACATTACATGAAAAAGCCCCTTCATCACATCCGAATCGTTGCAATGGACTGCTCTTATCACTGAATGATTTCATGCACGTTTCACAAAAAGACACTTTTTCTCTGTTACTTACATATGTGTGTCCCAATAGATTATTGCTACTAGAGAATACTTTCTTACAAATCCTGCACAAATTAATGTTCTCTTCGCTGTTTAACTCTGAGGGTTCAGCACTGTGTTCACCAAGAACTTCCTCAATGAAATGTGTTGCTTTAGTACTAGTTGCATTTAATTCAACATTCTGAAAGGAAAAGAAACACTGTCAGAACTTGTAATGGAAGAGGTGTGAGCTATTTTGCAATATTACAATTATCATCTGGACAAGTACTGTTAGACCAGAAGGAAGAGAGAATACTAGAATGTGCCTGATTTGCAATGAAAATACTGCATCAGACATAGGATGCCCACCTGCCTGCCTATATATGGATCTTAGAGTCCTTTATCGTTGGGCCTAGGACGCGTTTTCAGTTCCTTAATCATATACACAGTCGGAAGTACTCTTTAGACGGGGATCATCCCATCACAAGCCCGCTACCTGACCACAAGAGCATAAACACAGAATGCACACACACACACATCCATGCCTTGTGTGGGAATTGAACCCATGAAGGCAGTTTTTGAGAAAGCAAAGAAATTCCATGCCTTAGACTGTGGGGCATACAGATAAATTATCCTGGACACCTGAACCAGTCCACACACAAATGGAAAAATATTGCGACTGATGAGTCACTCTATAGGAGAGTTCGTTAAAAAGTGTCACCGATTTAGAGTATGAGGACATGGAATTATCTCTGAATGATATTCCTTTCCATCAGAAGAATTATGGGGTAATATATCCGAATGATATTCCTTTCCATCAGGAGAACTTTGGGAACACTAATGTATGAAGAAAATTTTCTTAATGTAGAATCGGTAGGTTGCGTTGTATGAAAAGCTATTATGTAATACAAAATTACATCTACATGTATTTAGGTACAGTGGAATACTGTCTTGTGAAATTCTGTCAGTTTTTGTTTTATTGTACTGAATGTTTACTTCACTGATCTTTCAAAATTTTCTGAAAATCATTAAATAAAATACGTAACAATTGCCTTTTCAGAACTTTACATGCCATGTCTGTGAATATTGTTATGCATAACTTTAATTCATATTTATTGATATCACTGGCCACTCTACCAGAGGCTTAAAAACGAAGCATGACGTTTAAGCTCTCTGAGAAGTTTCTATCAGTAACGAATATTACCATGTAAGATTTGAAGTTCCCACGACAGATACTGTGTATTCTGGAATATGCAATTACATAGAATGGTTAATCATTACAAGAATATTGACATTTGTGAGTTCATCTATGTTTAATTCGTTTAGGGTTCATTTAACTTAAAAACATGAGGAACATTTGATCGTGCCTGACTAGGTATTAAAGACAAATTCTTAAGCTTCATCTCTGATATCATGCACAATAACTGCACTGAACTCGGACTTCGAGATAATAACCAATATAAAAAAACAATGATTCATACCATTAGTTTGGAGCACTTCTAAAACAGTAATTTTCAGAGTCAAAACTGTGGGTGCTGCAAATGTGATATGTGTTACAGTACTTTAATAAAATGTACTGTGAATACAATTTAGTACTCAGAAACACAAATAGATAATGTATAACTGAGATGAAACCTCTTACCAAGTAACCATCATGGAGACCTAGACAGTGAAGGGGAAGTAATAAAAGGCTTGGACATTAGGGGGAACAGATTTTTGGGATGTGTCCTAAAGTGTTATGAAAGCTTGTTGAATTTAATCGCTTTGAAACCTTCTGTTCCAACATGGAGGTTATTAAGTTTACGTGCAAATGAGATGTAGAGAAATCCGTCACATTCAAAGTTGACTGCAATTACGATAAAACAGACAGGGTTACCTGGCACCATAATTTACACGCAGACAAATATGAAGAGATCTAATGACATACAGGGTGTCCCAGGAGAAATGTGCCAGACTTCGGGAGGGTGTTCCTTATGTTAAAGTTTGCTGATATAACCCAAAACACCTATGTCTGAAGTTGAACGGTTAGGGAGATAATGGCCCGAGAAAAATGTGGTCTTCTGGCGGGTCCATGCACTGTACCTGTCAGCTGACAAGCCTGATCGATGTTTGTCCATGAGTGTGGTGATGATGGTCCACACTAGACGCATACACTCGCATACCAGAATGCGCACTCAGCCATGTTACGTCAGTGCCTGCCATTCATGTGTCATGTATAGTGATTGGAACCCTAACGACAACTACAACATGGCGTGCGAGTTCTTTTCTAGTTCAATTTAATGGCTTCATGTCACTCACAAGTTAGTTTGATGTTACGTACATTATTAACTTTACAGAAAGCACATATTCCCGCCAGTTTTAATATGTATTTGGTAATCAACAAGTGTGTAACACCTGTCAAAGTTTCACATTTCTCTGGCCATTATCTCCATAACCATTCAACTTTTGACATAGGTGTTTTGGGTTATATCAGCATACTTTAACATAAGGAACACCCTCCCAAAGTCTGGCATATTCCTCCTGGGACACGCTGTATATATCCTTCTGATATACATACTTACAGCTTCATTCTTCACAAGAGGAAATGATGAGGCAACTCGTGTCAGAATTATTTTGGGGACACAAGTTGCTAAGGAATGCAATGTCCTTCCCAATCTCTCAAAGCGTTCTTCCTTACTTGTCATTCTTCTTCCGTTATTCTGTGCTGAAAACATATAAAGGATTAGTCACTGGCACATCAAAAGACAGAAAGGAATCATACGACTCCTAGAAGAGAAAGTAAAGAGGGAAATATTGATATGATATTGTAATACTCAGGCAGTAAAGATAAAAGTCCAGAAAAAGTGTAATGGATTTTTTCCAGAAATTGCAGTGCTGCTGTAAGGGACCATATGACAGTGCAGAATTCACTGGCCACAGTCACGTTGAGTGAATCTTTTCTTACATCACATGAAAAAGGTCATTCTCCAGTGTGTACTCGGATATGAGTGTCTAGACCGGGGCATCTAGTGAATATTTTATTGCACACATTGCATGAAAAAGGCTGCTGACAAACTCTGAATCGTTGCAACGCACTGGACGTGTCAGTGAACGATCCAACAAACATTTCACAAAAAAAAAAAAGAAGAAAAAAAAAACACTGTTTCTCTGCTGCTTTCACTTGCATGTCCCAAGAGATTAATCCCACTATAGGATGATTTCTTACATATCTCACATGAATCCAAATTCTCTTTGCTGCGTAACTCTGATAACTCTGCACTCTGTTCACCAAGCTCTTCGGCATTAAAATCCATACTGAAATGTGCTGCTTCATTACTAGTTGCCTTTAACTGAACACTCTGAAAGAAAAAGAAACACTATAAGAACCCGTAGCGGAAAATATAGTGAACTATTATAAATAAGTTAGATAAGAAGAAAGCAAGATATAATTCTGGCATGATATAATTATGTGGTTAGTTATTTAGAGAGGGTGGGTTCCCCATGCACCGTGACCAGTTTGATCTATTGTGCTTCCCTCTATGATATTCTACCAGTCTCTATACCCTACCGATAAATGGTGCGTACCATCAGTCCCGCCAAGCAAGCGAGTTCGGCCACTTGCTTAGCAGTATCTATAATGCTTCCCCCATATATCAGAGGCCTTAGAGACTATTGTTGGGTGGGAAACGTCCTGGAATTTGGCTCAGTGATCCCCTTTGGGGATATGAGGTTCTTTTAATTGCCGTAAAGTTACGACACGGGACACAGCTTAAAGTCCCTCCCGGAGGACTTGTTCCCTGAATTTTTCTGCCCTTAAAAATTCGACGACCTTCGCCGGGTATTTGAACCCACGTACCACGAGTCATGAGGTGGGAACGTTACATACAATTATGTAAATAATAGCAGAAACTGACTGTTACAATGGAAATATTGCATGGACATGGGGCACACAGACGAATTAACCCAGACATTTGAACTGGGCCAAACACAATTGGAAACATGTTGCGAGTAATGACTCACTTGATAGGAATGCTCGTTAAAATGGTCAGTGAATCAGAGTATGAGCATCAGGAATTAACTCTAAATGATATTCCTTTCTGTTCAGTGACTTTCGGGAATCCCACGGTATGCAGAAAACCTCCATCTACACGACTCTGCGGTTCTTGGCGACTGGTGCGCTACTTCCTGTGAGGCATATGACAATTTTACTGATGGATCAGCATGGCTGACGGACAATAATGTTTGCAATGAAGTAGTTATAATTTGCAGATCACAGAAGGTGTTTAAAATGCACTCCTCTCTACAAGTGGATATTTTTAGCAACTAAATGTTTCATTAAAAAGCAAAGTACTACATTCCTTCTTGCACTTACAGCACACCAGGCACCAAATTCTGCTTGATGGGTTCTGGAATTGTGTGCCGTTCTTGAACTAGACTTTAACACTCCAGTCTCTTCAAGTAGTGTTTCAGTGATTTTCTACATGTATGTTCATGTCTGGCCCCTCTGTCATCAACCGTCTCCTCAGTAAGCACTCAGCATTTATGTTTTTGTTTCCTCTCTATTATGGATCACGCTGTTCTAAGTTTATTCACCGAACTATGAATTCTCTGTCTGCTGGGAACTCTTTCATCATAAAAGTTATGACAAAATTATCACTGACACCTTTCAGCTGATCCACATTTCATATATGTATTATACAGAAATACACGCTGCTCTAAAGTATACAGCATCATGACTCTGACTAACTGTAACTGAGAAGAGATGGTTAATGTAGCTGATAACTAATGCCTAATACTAACAAATCATAAACAAACTCTCACACATGAACTGCGCTGCTTGCCATGAATTATAATACCATCAAGCAATCTATAAGTTAATTACTTCCCTTCTTTCCAAACGTTATCGGCTGACACATTAGCAAAATTTGTATGCACCTCACAGGAGGCTCACTGCCCACCGTGAACTCCTTAAGTTACCAAAAAACGTCCCTGTAGAACTGGTAGGATATGTTGCATTTATAAGCATTAAATGAAAATATAATTACATCTACATATAAAATTCATTCATGGGTCGAGGAAACCTGGCAACAGCGTACAGCAGAGAGAACATATCTCCCATAGTGCTGCTGTAACTGCCGATAGCAGAAAGAGTCATTAGAGCTGACAAACGCGCGCCATCAGGTGGTCTGATCATGTTACAGCAGTAAGTTGAATTAATATTTGGTCTTTGTTAGAGGTGTCAATAGTCAGTCGACATTTATACAGAAATGAAGTTTGCTACTGAACAGTGTGTGGTCACTGTCAAAACTTTTTCAATTAAAAAACTTAGAGAAAATGAATCCATAAGTTTCTTCATATATATCCTAACTCGACAGTTCCCACGAAGTCGTGTGTATCCAAGCTTGTGAAAAAAGTGGCCATCCACAGGTTCAGTGTGTGACATTAGGAAGCAATCAAATAGGTTCGGCATACTGAGGCACAACTACAGAAGTTCTCGAAAATAGTTAAGTCGTTTAGCACAGGAAACCAGCGTTTTGTTAGGATCTTTTTTCACAGCCACAAAATTAATCAAATTTCGCCCGGCATAAAATAACAGTTGTGCATACGCTAAAATGACCAGATTATGCAGCAAGAATTCGTTTTTGCAACTGGCTGCTGTAAAATGTGCACGATGGAGTCATGGATCGATATCTTCTGTTAATGACTGATGAAACGTGGTTTCACATCAGTGGCCATGTCAGTGCACAAAATGTAAGAATATGGAGCGATAAAAATTTTCGTGGCAAGTGCCACTATATAGTGAAAAGTTGGGGGAGTGGTGTGCAGTAAGTCTCTGGTGAATCATTGGCCCCTTATTTTTCCACAAAACCGTGAACCCTGACCGCTACCTTCTTGATATACTGAATCCATTCTTCAACCAGCTGACTGCTGAAGAAAGGCAACATGGGTATTTTCACCAAGGCACTGTTACAACAAATACGGGTAATGCAACCATGGTCACAATAGGGGAAGTGTTTGAAGACAGAATAATCAATAGAGGAATGTAGCCTCCCAGATCCCCAGAACTAAGATTTTGTGTTTTCTATTTTTGGGGAAACCTGAAGGGAAATTGAACATGAATAATCCTTGTAGCACTGAAGTTCTGCAGAATGAAATAGCACGTCACTTTTCGCATGCTTTGACACATAAGACTTTGTGGGAACTGGTGAGTCAAAATATTTAAGTCGAAACTTACGGATACATTTTCTGTAAGTTCTTTTCCTTGCAAAAGTTTCGACAATAAACACACGCTGTTAACAGTGAAATTCATTTCAGTACAAATGTTGACCACCTATTGACACCTCTAACAAAGACACACTATTATGCGACTTACTGCAGTGACAAAATCAGACTACCTGACAGTGTGTGGTTATCAGCACCAATGACTCATTCTGCTATCGGCAGTTACAGCAGCAATCTGTGAGAAATATTGTGTCTGCTTTGCGATGCTTCCCGGTTTCCTTGATGGTTGAACGCCCTGTATTTAGGTACACTGGAATATCGCTTTATGAATGTCTGTCAGTTTTTCTTATATTGTATAGAAGGTTTATCTCATTTATCTTTCAACTTTTTTCTGAATTTCATGAAATACGTTATGTAACGCTTGCATTTTGAGAACTGTACCATTCCTGCGAAAATTGCAATGGGTAAATTTAAACCATTTTTATTAATATTACAGCCTTAAAATCAAAGCACGTTGTTTTAAGTTCTCTGAGAATTTTCAATCAGTCATCAATATTTCCATGTACGATTTGAGGTTTCTACCACAGATACTGTGAATCCTGGAATTTCCAGTCGCATAGATTGGTTAATCGTTACAAGAATACTGGCATGTGAGAATTCATCTATGATTAATTCGTTTAGGGTTTGCTAAACTTCAAAGCACAATGCAATTTTCATCATGCTTGGCTAGGTATTAATTTAAGACAAATTCACAAGCTACATTTGTCATATCGTGCACAATAACTGCACTGAGCTCGGTCTTCGAGATAATAACTAATACATAAAAAAAACAGCCCTTCATATGACTCGTCTGGACACATCAGAATCACAGTCGTGGGTATGGCAAATCTGACAGTGTTTCCTTCTTCTTTTCGTGTTATAGTATTTTAATCAAATGCACTGCAAAAGACTGTGAATACAAATAGACAGTGTATGACTGGGGTGAAACCTCTTACAAGGTAGCCATCTGCTAGACCTGGACAGCAATGTGGGTGTAATACCAGGCTGGACATTTGGGGAAGAGATTTTTGGGATGTGACCCAAAGTGATATGAATGGCTGTTGTTTCTAAGGGTTTTCAAACCTTTGGTTCTAACATGGAGGTTATTATGTATACATGCTAATGAGATGTAGAGATCCATCATCTACAGCGTTAAATGCAATTAAGATAAAAAAACTCAATGGTGTTAACTGGCACCATAATTTAGATGCAGACAATATGACACGAAGAGACATAATGACATAAATCCTTCTGATATAAACACTTACAGCTTTATTCTTCAGAACAGGAAATGTTGAGTCAACTCGTTTCAGAATTACTTTTGGGACTCTAGTTGCTAAGGAATGCAAGGTCCTTCTCAATCTCTCAAGGCGCTCTTCTTGACTTGTCATGTTTCTTGTGATATTCTGTGCTGAACACACACAAAGGATTAGACACTGGCACTTCAAAAGGTAGCATAAAAACATATGCTTCTAGTTGAGAAAGTAAAGCGGGAAATTTTCATACAATATTGAAGTATGTGAAACTGATATTTTACTCCCCTGGAAAAGCAAAATACCAACCCTTGAAATTAATTATGGAATTTGCGTGTGTGACGTTCAGATAGATTTTGTCTACTTCTTCAAGACATTTTATTGCACGACATTACTGCGTGTGCCATGTATAAATTGTAAGAAGTGAAACTGGTCTCGCTGCCTTAAATGCGTGATGAAACAGTTACACAGTGATTCTGGTACATTATTCATCTTCAGTAAGCTGCAATCTTAAACGAGGAATAAAGTTATGCCTACACTTAATTAATTAAGCAACACACTACGAAGACATAAGGGGAAGTGTAGATATAGCTCCACAATTCTCGACCTTAGCACAAGATGCAGATCACTGATTAGATTCACGCCACTTCGCTTTAGCCCCAGGAAAAGAGTGGCATTTACAAATTAGAAAGGAGGCTGGGTGGGATTCAGAGCCGGTCTCGACGCTATGAACTACAGTTTCTGAACAGAATATTTAAGGTTTCAGTAGAGAGCAAAATTTCTTCACCCAGGAAATTAGCGGCAGGGGTGCCACAGTTCTGGACAGCTTATATATAAATGACGCAATTGCGGCACAAGGAATACACCCTGCTCTCTTTGCGGACGTTGCTTGTATATACGCAACAGAGAAACACGAGCGACCAGTTTTCAACAAAGTCCAGTGTGGTCTCACTGTTGTGTGGTCATGGTGTCAGCACTGGAACATGAAGATCAATGAAGGGGAGACACACCTATCTACTCCAGACGGCGGAGAATGCCTGAGGACGCCCTACAACTAAACGGAAGGAACATCCAATTTGTAAATAGTATTAAATTTCTTTGGTGTCACCTTCGATAGGATGATGACATGGAGACTACGCATCGAGAAAACCGCAGCCAAGGCCTTGGGCACCTTACATTGGGGCATACTATATATTCAAAAGCCAGCATCTGAGCACACACATTAAATTAATCGTGCACAGAGCACTAATTAGATCACTGATGACTTATGCCTGTCCAACCTGGGATTTTACGGCAGACACTCATTTGATGAAACTGCAGCTTTTGCAGAACAGAGTTCCGCGCTATTGGCAGCCGTGACAGGCGGACACAGGTCGGCCATTTGCACATGGCATTCGAAATTCCGTAAATGTATGATTACATAACTAAATTATGCAGGAGGCAGGCAGATGTCATCCTAAATCATGAAAATCCAAACGTATGTGCAAGTGGACAAGAAGCTAGGCATAAGAAATATAAGAGGCTTAAACTTGGCGGCGCTTGAGACTACGGCCGTTCAAGTGTCTAACTGCCGTTTCGGAGTGTTAAATAATTTGATGCATACGCTGCAGCACTATCCTGCATTGACAGAGATCCCTATATATATTAGAATTTACTGTCAGTTTATATTTTTTGAACAATATATAACATGTGCATATCCAATATTTTAATGTAACCCCAGGTGGAATTGCGGTGTAGTAAGGAAACACCAGTTATAAAAATGTCTAACTCCTCTATTTTATCATTAAGGAGAAACAACGAAGAAAAACAAATATATGGCCATGGGTCCCAGCGGGGCCCGATGCCGGGAGTGACCATGCCGGTTGATTGCCGGTAGTAAGCTTCACTTTGCTCTGCTCTGCTCCGCTCTTGGAATACATCAGAGATGGTTGAGATGCCAAGGTCGTGATGAAGAGTGTCGTTTGATACATACCATGATGCATCTGTCATTACTCAAAGTAATTTGGACTGGGAGCTTTGGATGATGGCAATACTCGACTTACGGATCTTTACAAATACAGTTTAATATCTTCCTTGCCTTGGTACTGATGTCCTTATCGATAAAGGTATAGAAAGAGAGTGAATAAAACAATCTTTCCCTTTCAACTTGTTGCCATCTTGCTTTTGACTCCCGGTGTTTTTGATGCTTTTCCCGAACGCCGAAAAACCATTGCTCACAAGTTAATGGCGGAATAAAGTCCAAGTCACATTGCGACTGACTGTCAGTCAGTAACTCTTCCTATGAAGTGCCATTTGGTGCTTATGGCCAGATATTTATTACTGTTTGACAGATGCGATTGTTTCTGTGAGACGCCCTCTCTGATAATGGGACAGGTCTGCCATTTGCACATGCTGCTGGCCCTTTCCAGCCCAGTCTTTCTGGGTTCCGGGTCCCTTGATAACAAGACCACATTTTACTGTTTTAGTTTATATATATAGGGTACCCCCTCGTTGGTGTCTCCACCTTATCGTGGTGAGGGGGTTTGAGTATGCCAAGGACCCTGAGAGCTATACCAGCGGTAGCGTAGCTACTGGCAGGGCCTCCCTTGCTGGACAGGTCAAAGGGTAGGCATCAGACGAAGAGAGACACCAAAAACCAAAAACTGATGCCGGAAGCAGCGTCATCAGCAGCGACTTGAAGCACAGAGCAAGTGATGCTCGAGATGGTTCAAGTTCGTATAGCAACAGGCGTGACCAGAGTGGAACGGCTGTTGTACTGCGATGTGGAAAGCAAATGGAAAAACTACCACATTATCACTTTTCCTGGATAGTCTCTTTCCAAAAACAGAAGATCGCATTAAGAGGAGAAACTGTTTTGGAAGAGACTGTGGACCTGATTACTGATTACTGATTACTGATGAATGAATGAATGAATATAGGGTTATTACAAATGATTCATTCCACTTCAAAACACTATATTTTCCAAAGTATTACACATACAAATATGATTGATACAGGAAAAGAACAGCAAACTCACCAAGTTTGCATCGTTATACACTAGTTGGCAGGATGAGTGTAGTGTCTCACAAAATGGCGACAAAGCTGGAAGAGTTTGTGTGTGTTAGAATATGTGAGATGTTTGTCTGTTATTGGAGTGCAGGGTGCATTCAGAGCAGAGCACAGAAAAGAACCACCATGTAAACAGAGCATTCTGCGGTGGTATCGGCAGTTTAAGGATAGTGGTTATCTGTGTAAACGGAAAAGCTTGGGGCAACCGACATAGTTTTTTGAAATGGAATGAATCATTTGTAGTAACTCTGTGTGTGTGTGTGTGTATACTATATACATTGTAACGTGTTTTGCTACTGAAGAAGCCGTTCAGATTGTTAATTGGTTTATTTAACAACCTACAAATCATAGCTACAATTAATTATAACACTGTTGCGTGTTTACACTATACATGATTCTATTCACTCTATCCTTAGTAGTCTTCACGTATTTATAAGGCAGGAGCTATACAAGTCTCTCTTATTACACACTCCCAATATAACTGTACTAGAGCACACAATCTTGAAGTCACACAGTAAGTCTTCACTTGCTGATTTATCGCGCACTATAAAATCTTCTAACCACGCGTCCGGTTCTTCTTTCCGCGACTGCTTCTATATTCCAACTGCCTTCGGTGGCTGCTACATTTTAAATATCTTCGGCGGCTGCTATATTTCGACTGACTTCAGCGGCTGCTGCATTTTAACTGACTCCTTAGGCAGTGCAGTTTTCTTATGAACCCTCAACCAGACAACGGAAAACGCCTCGCGTCCCTTTTGTCTAGTTGCCGTGTTTACAGGTGTTGTCGGCTGTTACGTCACAGTGGAAAGCGCTGCCAAGTCACAGCGGGGGAGGGGGCGGAGCTCTGACCAGCCTGTCACCATAGTAGCGGCAGCGCTGTTACGCTACCACTGGCGAGGGAGGGGGCGTACTGCATAGCACAAATACGTCACAATATATATGTATATATATATAAATACAATTAATTATAGCACTGTTACGGGTTTAAGCAATTTACAATCCCCACATACTAATCTCTTCACGCTATCTTCAGTAGTCTTTACGTATTTACAGTATAACACGGGGCCTATACAAGTGTCACTGAATTACACACTCCCAATACAATGCCTTCTCAGTTATCACAATTATCACTGATTATCACATATAAAATCTTCTAATCACTCGTCCAGTTCTTCTTCCCACGGCTGCTTCGACTGACTTACTGACTAACTTCTGTTCTGCCGAATACTCCCGAATAGACTAAGGCTAATGTCACACAAGCGCTGAAAACAGCGGACACTGCTCTTCCATCAAAATCCGTGGACGTGAAGCAGATTGCCACAGGAGGGCTATATTCCACGCATCGCCAAGTCAGTCTTTGGCGAGGCTTCAAGCTGCGAACATGGATTTTATTGACATCAGCCTTAATGTCATTTTTATTGGTTACGTGTGGAAACATCTACAAAGAAAAAGTAAAAGTAAACGCAGGCGGTATTGGGTGCATCCGTTACTCAGTGGCCGTTTAATAATTGGACATTTTTATGTTAAGCATCCGAAACTGCAACAATATCCAGAAAGGTTTTTCAATTACTATATCATGTCGAAATCTTCATTTGAGGAACTGTTATGCAAAATAAAACCAAGACTTCTAGGGAAGAAGACAAACATGAGAATGGCAATAACACCCGAAGAAATGCTAGCTTTATCATTAAGGTAAGTTGCATTTAAATAACAAAGGAAAAGATATATATACAGGGTGTCCCAGGAGGAATGGACCAAACTTCGGGAGGGTGTTCCTTATGTTAAAGTATGCCGATATAACCCAAAACACCTATGTCCAAAGTTGAACGGTTACAGAGATAATGGCCCGAGAAAAGTGTGGTCTTCTAGCAGGTCCACACACTATACCTGTCAGCTATGACTGTTATCTGTTTGTCCTTGAGTGTCTGATTCACACTAGCTGTAAGCTTATGCGATACGTACAGAGCCTACAGTGTATGTTGCTTCAGCGTCGTGAATGGTTAGTAAATTACGTGTAGTTGTGCGGTGTTGCTGAAATGCCTTTTGTGTTTTCACACGTTGAATATTGTGATATGCATTTTGTGTATGGATTTTGCGGTGGCAATGCACG